CATCATCAATGTTCATTTCAGTTTTATTGCTTAATTCTGTTATATATAAACTTGTTGAATCCCCATGTTGTACACCTCATAGAATATTTAATTCAGCATTCAATGTTACTGCTAGATGATAATTTCAAATTTAGCATTAAATGCGTGTACTGGTGTTCAGTAATTTCGTTTTATGAAACCATCTTACAGAAATTCGACCAAATTATTACAGCAACCACCGACTTCATCAAATAAACCGTCACCTCATCGACCTTGTATAAAATCGAAACCAGAACCATTAAATTTTGTGGCAAGCACTAAAATCTAATTATTGAAGTATTTCCTCTCCTCATAGGATTTTATTTATCATTCTTATTCATTATCGTATTGGATTAACTTTGTGTAGACTATACAATTTCGGTTATTGATCTCAGTCACGAATGTGATCACTTACAATTTGAATAGTTCATTTTGAAATTTTCCAACTTTAGAAGTGTGTAAAATATAGATTCTCTTCAAATTGTTTGTATTATACTATCAGTAAACTTAAGTTCATTGACTCAAATAGATTGTTTCCAATCATTAAACATAGAACGATGTGTACTTTTAAGTGTCAAATAATTAAATTCAATGATCACATTTCAACTTGATTGATAGAACTTTATTATTACTAACAACTTGATAATTTAACATTAGTTGTAACATGAAATAATCTAGAATTTTGGACGAGACTATAATTTATGAACGAACCAATCAGGTATTAAATAACAGGTCTTGGATTTTGACGTGAAATTCTCTCATCCATTTGATTAAATAGAGTTTTGTTATTATAGCTGATGTCAGTTCGTGATGAAAACCCTAAATCTAATTCCTAACTCTAACCATCAACTGTAAATCATAATTCGAATTCCTCGCACTGATTTATAACCCTCATTTGGTTCTAGTTATTAGGTGAACACTCTCAAGGTTATTTCAGCGTCATCCATAAATTATAGTCTGACCAAACTGTCTCGAAATCTGATATTTTTGACTTATGGATTCTCGAATATAGAGTCTTCCAGTGAGTCTTCATTGAATTGTAGTTCATCAATCTGTGCTTAAATCATCAACTCGTGAATTCAGCTTGTTTTTCTGTTTTGTTTTGTTTTGTTTTTCATGAAACGTGTCATTCGATTATTTTCAATCATGCTAATTGATTCATTTATTTATTATGAATAAGATCACATTTCCTTATGAGTCACTATTCATGAGTAGTTCATCATAATGGATGTATAACCAGTTGATAATGGATTCGTTTGTTTATTTTTATTAATAAAGTCACACACAAAAATAATTAAAAACCACTAATTAAAATTGTTGTATCTTAGCGACGATTAAGTGATGGGTAACTTCTGAGATCTATTAATGGATTAATATTATAAATATATTCTTATTGTATCATTGTCCAACAACTAGATTATGTATAGTTATATTCCTCTTATTATAAGCTTCATTTTGACCCATAGATTATTATAATACGATTTACTGTTCTTAAATTATGTTCAGTTTATTGATTACGATCTCACACGTTCACAGCCACTTTTTGACTTGATCTTGTATAAATGTTATTTCCTATTTTATGGTATGATGCAATCTGTTTTGCTGGTATTTAAACCAAATATGTTTGTAATAAATAATTCTCATAGTAGAAGCTGTTATTGGTATTCTGAACTCAAATGGCAGGATTAGGCAAACAAAGGACTAATAAAGATGCAAGGCTGCTCATACCGGTCGAACGTCACTAGTTTAGTACAGTGCAAGAGTGAATAATTCATATTTCAATTGACGAATATATCACATGATAATTAGCTAGGCTTAAAGTCACAATAAAAACTTTTCAAACACACTTATACAAGGATATTTCCAATTCTCGAAAGTATTCACAACAATATAAGTCACTAATTAATTTTATTTAAATATTTATAAAATTAAAATAGTACATTATTTAATAGTTTAATTCATGAATCAATTAAAGCTAGACTACCATGGAAAAACTTGGAAGCACTGGATCGCTTTTACATCCTAGTATGGGGCTCCTCAACAGTGAGCATCCATGATCTCGCAGAATTCTAACCTAGGATCTATTGGTTTCGCACTCGAACGCTTAATCTGTAAACCATTAAGTTGACATCTAATGGTGTTAATGTCTAACTTCAACCGAGTATTGTACAATATTTAATGGTATATTCAATAATGGTTATACTCTCTTGAAAATTCAATAGTCAAAAGTACATATAAACCAATGATTATCGATGTATTTGTTTATATATGAAATCAACTATAATCATATAAAACTTTATGAAACTATTCAGTCATTAGTTTTCAATTCAAAGTAGTTTTTGCATAATATTGTTATGTTATTTTATTAAAAGAATTAGAAGTTAATCTATTCTATATGGATTTTATTTTAAAAAATGGACAAAACTAACAAATCAAATAAGAGACTAGGAAATTAATGAAAGTTGATGGTTATAGGAGTTATCAAAGAAGTCACAATCAGTGGAGCTAATCCGTATCGGGTAGATATAGGTATCTACCTCAGTACAATAGAAGATGGTTGCACAATTACGTGAATTGGTTGGATTTAGACATTAACACCGTTGGATGCCGGCTTAGTGGTCTAGAGATTAATTGTTCGCGCGCGAGATTGATAAGTCCTGGGTTCGAATACCGCTGGTGAGATCGTGAGTTAGCACTGCTAAGGAGTCCCACAATAAGACGCAACAGCCGTCCAGTGCTTCCACGTTTTCAATAGTGGACTAACATCAATCGATTTATGATCTCAATCAAAAATATAATAATCTCCACAACCCCATATTGATAAAGTTCTAATTGTCTGGATTATATAGTTGAAGATTAATGTACGAAATTCTTTATCGTTATATATCGTTATGAAGTTTACATTAAAATTAGATATCTGGTACTGTAATGTTTGATTAGTGAAAGTTTTGGATCTAGACCGAGAATAAGTTTTATATTGAGGAAATTAATAGAGAAACTGTAATATTTAAAAATCTGAATGAAAAAAGTACAACAGTAAACATGAACTTACAACTAAGTAAATATAGAAGATGTACATACATTTACGAATGAAATCAATCGATATTTGTTCACAGCAATACAGGTTTGAAATCAGGAGAATCTGGTAGATAAAACTCGGAGTAATATTTAAAATAGGTAATCAAATTAACTAGTGGTAAACAATGAACGTTGATTTCAAGTTTTTTTCAGTTATATCCTGATGAGAATAATGAATAGTAACTGTTGGGATCTATTTATGGTCTAATACTATACATATATTTTTACTGTATAATTGTTAAATAACTAAACTATTCATATTCGTGTTCCTCTTATCATAAGCTTTATCATAGCCTATAGACTATTGTTATACGATTTGCCGTTCTTGAGCTATACCCAGTTTATCAATTACTATCTCCCACATTCACAGTCACTTTTGGTTAAATCTTGTACAAATGTTATTTTATATTTTATGGTACGATGTGGTCTGTTTGATTTGTATATAAACCCAGTATATTTGAAATAAATGATTCATATCGCAGAGGCTGAGATTGGTGTTCTGTACATAACAGGCAGGACTAGGCGGAAAGCAAGACCGATAAGGACTCTCAACTGCTCGTACTTATTTTATGCGTCATTGGTCCGGCCGACAATTCATTGTTCTCTAATTAGCGGTATCATTACGTTATACATTGATAGGGCAAAAGACCACAAGTTATAACATCTTCATACTTCCTTCTTCATTTAATCTCCTCAATCGGTGTTTTATGAATCGATATATTGACTTACCTAAAGTAAATCTATAGATAAAAGTCAGATAAATTGGACAACTTGAGAATTGAATATCATCTGGTTTAATTAAATACAAATATTAACACATTTACAATAAGGCATTACTATAAAAACATGAAATCTCACTCTAGCCATAATTTACTACATTACAAAAAACTGGAACGTTTAGAAAGAAAATGAACGTTTGTTTTGGAATTCAATATAAAATCATGAAAATTTTCAAACGCGATGGCGTTTGAAGCGAATGGTACTGGGTTCGAGTCGCAGAGTGAATATCAACTCAGATACAGGTACATCCAGCTGACGAGTCCTAAGTAGAACGAAACTTGCGTCCTGGATTCCATTGCTAGCCACTATCCATCATTGCTTACAAAAAGCTTGTGAATTAAGGCAATATTGAGGCATACTCACAGTACGCACATATGCCGATAACAGACTGATCAATTGCAGTCTTAAACCTCAATGGGAAGATACAAGCCAAATAATACCAAATGAATCGAAAATACACATTCCTACATTTTTTAAAATCTTTAATTGAGTGTGAACATTAGTTAGTCATGTACATTTAAGTTACAAAACATACTGGCCTATTTATGACGATCATTAATCTCTAATAGACTAAGCATACTCTCACATTTATCAGAAACTTGTTTCATTTATTCGGTATATTATAGTATATAACTTAACCATAAAAATTTTTAACCTTAGTGATTGATACACCGGTACTCACTAAGACAAAATATAAATAATTCAGTACCAAACTACCATAAATTTGTACTAATATATTAAGTAGTTAGAGACAATTATCAGGAAACCATACTTAACCTTGCTTTTGCAACTGATGACACTTGTTAACAAGGTGTGCCTTCAAACTTGTGAGAAATGATGCCATTCGTGATATTTTTTAACCCTCGTATTTGTATGAATATATTCCGATAGCATAATAACTTAATTTTGTACCTTACTACTTGTAAATGTAATAAGTAGTTCAAGCCATATAAACACATTTTCCATAAAATTAATTAACAGCTTAATATAAAATAAATGATTCATTTCATGAATGTTGTTATGATTATTGTAATTTAATAGATACATGAAAAACGTGCATGTAAAATGAGTTACTCAATCAGTGAGTCATTTATATTCGGACTTATAGGAATACTCAAAAAGTCATGTTCATATTTTATAAAAATTTAAATGATCCCAGTAATCTTCATTTCAATATGAAAAGTGACAGGTCAAAGAGTTATTTACGTAAGAAAATAGTTTATATTTTATGGCAAGTGAATTATTTCTGACCGGTGTACTCAATTTCTCATGTATCTCGTAAACAATAAGGTAAGTAAACAATAAATAATGGGTAGTTGTTAGAGATCTATAGAAAACTCTGTATTTATGATTCAGTCCAGTTGACACTTTTCAAGAAGGACCTTGAGGAGGCCGATACTGTTAGCAAGAATCGGATCTACGTTGTCCGATATCACATCATGGCTTTAATTTGAGTCGATAATGACTTTCTCTAATACCAAGATATTCACATTGGTTAGTCAATGACCGGTAGTTAATGTCGTGTCTGTCTTCATAGTATACTAAGTCAGATTGCTTAGACTAATTTTCACATTCCAACTTAATGGATAGAATCTGATGAACATCAAGGACTAGATAGATATTGCATTCTTTACTACTTAGAGATTAATCAGTGGAATATCTAAACTGTAAGTATTAGATCATTTGCCTTCATCATATGATGAAAATATTCAGTAATAGACCAGCAATTGGTTGTCAGACGTCTATTCCTTGTTTGCAAGAAACATAAAATAATTAAAAATATACAAGCAAAAATGGGTGTACTGAGCCACCAAAGTAGTTCCTTCATTCCACACTAACTACTCAATTGAAATGCAGTCTCTCATTATACTAAATCAGTTTACATATACGTTGCAAACAACACATAGTTTTAAAAATAAAACGGAGGATTATTGAAGTAATTTACAAGCGAACTCTGCAAAAATGGAGAATAAAAGAAAAACACATTTCCAATAATGGAGTGGCTATTAACTGATCGACATAATGTTGATATCTTCAAGTATTTCAAAATAACTATCAATCAGATAAGTTAAATCTTCTAAGCTTTCCTAGTTCATCATTATCGTAAGAATTGAAATAAATTATAAAAGATATTGTGAATTTCCTTTATATTCTATATCCTTATCGTATACTTACTTCACCCCGTCTTGTGTAATAATTTATACTATATACTGATACTATGCAACCAGTTGCATTACTAATAACGTGTGAGCATATAATGCAATGGATATTTATTTTAGAATATTATTGTGCACTTATTTAAACTAATAATATTCAACAGGGTCTGTTGTGAGATTGTAACTCACTGATGACAATGGTGGATGTGTCGTTTAATTTCGTGGATTAGTTAAAGTCACACATTAACACCGTTGGATGCCAACTCTAGAGGTTAAGCGTTCGAGCACGAGACCGATAGGTTCTGAGTTCGAATTTCGTGAGGTGGGGTCGTAAATGCGCACTGTTGAGGAGTCCCATACTAGGATGAAACAGTCATCCAGTACTTTCAGGTTTTACATGGTGGTCTAGCTTCAAATGACTCATGATCTCAACTATTGAGATCACTATAATACCCACAAAAACCCCTTCTGATATCAAATATGTATTAGAATTTTACATTGAGGTAAGATATAGTGTGGAACAATCGACATAAGTAAATGCAAAGAATTGGAATGATTCCAATGTACTGAACAAGAATACGAGTAGGGACAAAAGAGTGTTGAAATCATGAGTCAATTGAAGCTAGACCACCATGGAAAACCTGGAAGCACTGGACGGCCGTTTCGTCCTAGTATGGGACTCCTCAGCAGTGCGTATCCACGATCCCGCACCCCGCGGGATTCGAACCCAATCTACTGGTTGAAGTTAGATATTAACACCGTTGGATGCCGGCTCGGTGGTCTAGTGTTTAAGTGCTCCCTCGCGAAGCCAGTAGGTCTTGGGTTTGAATCCCTCGGAATGTGGAATCGTGGATGCGCACTGCTGAGGAGTCCCATACTAGGACGAAACGGCCGTCCAGTGCTTCCAGGTTTTCCATGGTGGTCTAGCTGCAATTGGCTCATGATTTCAACCTGTGGAATTTCTAAAACTCTCCACAAAACCCATTCCGACAAAAGAATGTATTTGAGCACAAAATTACAGAGCATCTCAATAAAATCCATTATATCATAATTGACTGTTCCTGTTGCAAACATCGATCCATTGTCTCACATTTCATTGTTCATGCGTTTTCATACAGATTGCGTTCCGTTTCCGTTCTTTCCTCATCGACCTTCTACTGAAATGCATTCTACCGTTATATACTACTTGTATAGATATAAGTAGCCCACACCACAACAACACCAAATAATCTCTAACCTGTTCTTGCATATACATAGTTATCATTGATAACCTTTGTCATCCCAATTCCTTACATTCACTTATGTCAATTATTCCACACTATTTCTTATCTCAATGTAAAATTCTAATACATATTTGGTTGTAAGCAGCTGATGAGAAACCATGAAATATGATGAATTCATATTATTCTTTAATATCTATCTGGTTCTTATTTCATATTCTATAAATACACTAAAAAGTATTTACATTCATTATTTTTTTTAATAAATGGAATCATTGTATTAGGTTGTAAGGAGTTACAAAGTACTAAATGTAACAAATTAATTCATATTAAAGAGAGCAAAAATGAAGATTAGTGCAGAATAATATGAGTTCATTTCATTTTGTTAAGTTCGCATCAGGTGCATAACCCCTAAATGCCCTGGTACGGCCGAGAGTAGGGAGAGTCAGCTATCTCTCTCTCTCGAAGTGCTCTCACATGGTCACGTGCATGCAACCACTCCAGGGAAGTTCTACTCACTGCCTTTTCGCGGCACTACTGCTGTTTACGAAATTGAGAGGACGAGAAGCGAATGTCTGGCGCTCCAACTGGGTTGGTAGACACGAAGAGTTCTCCTAGAAGAGTTAAAAAATCCACATTCCAAACTAATGGTGCACACGGGCTTCAGTATTCTGAAGGAACAAATGGCGTATGAGCCAATCGTTAGTTACCGGTTACCATGGGACTGTATCCCCTGATGTTGATCCACTGCCTTATGGTCGAAGGCTCCGGGTGTGGCCTCCTAAGAAAACCACCTGCCTCGGATTGAGCATCCGGGCAGTATCCCAGCCCTCACATAAATCGAATGCTTTTTGTGGCGTATATCTATTTGGTGCCTCCTTGTACCAATGTTTATGTGTTTAAATAAATAAATAACATTTTAAATATCAAGGTTATTAGAGACATTAGCATACTGATAAATATGAAGGTGATTAGAGATATGTGTATCATGATGTAACGAATATTTCAGTTGAGTTAATAAGATCATGAAGATTTTTTTGTTTTGGATAAATAAATAAAGTTTGAGAGGGAGAGTTCCAGAACATTGGACTAGTGTCAACAAACATTAGATGATTATGTAATAAATTAAGTGAAAACAAATTGATGGTGAAAAAGAAACATATAAGTTGAAATCAGTCAATTATAAGTTGAAGAAAAATGACAGTGATGTAATCAAAACTTTAGAAAGAGTTGGATGATGCAATAGAAAGGATGTAATGCTACTGTGGCGAAGAAAAATTTACTACTGCTTCTTTTTGAACACATAGATCTAGCTTTAGACGTTTGATCGCCATAGCTTCAGAAAATCTCAGAAGATTGGAGTTCTATTGTTCATTAATCACTTTGAAAGACTTCAATTTATCTAATTGATATCTTATACCAAGGACGTGTCTTGAGATGGCACTGCTGAATGTTTTTAGTCCAGTTGACCTTAGACTTTTCGGAATATGTTCTTTGAATCGGACGTAGGTTCTTCTTTCTGTTCTATCAATGTAAGTGCTTTGGCAGATACATGTAAATTTGTTTACACAGTTGGTGGTAACATGAAAGGGATACCTATAGACCTATGAGTGTGTTCAAGAACATGTTGTTTTGAATAGGACAATCAGCTTAGCTACAGGATAAGTTCTTCCCAATACAGTTTTTAGTCTCATATCGATTGACCCTCTGACATCATCACCTCTGAATAAAAAAGGCTTTTTGTTTGTTGTAGTTTCTTTGGCTTTTTTTTCATGTTTCGCATATTCCTCAATAAATTTTAATGAGTACGCATCGTTCTTTAAACAGCTTTTCATATTCATTAGTTCCTCTTCTTGTGCATCAACAGTACGTATTCTTTCTGTTCTATGAAATAGTGTTTTAAAAAGTGGCTTTTTGTAACTGATTGAACAAAAACTATTAAAATTGAGATAAATCCTATTCCATAAGTATCCGAGACCAAACCTGGGATCAAACCCAAGATTTTTATATCTTAAAGTTGTTTTGAATGTTAAGCGCTCATCGATTTTCAATTGTTATCTAAGTAAGGACAGTTCATTTCATAAACTATGAACTATGAGTGCACTACAAAATAAACATGTATTACATATACATATAAAACTAACCAAATGCTAATGTGCTAGTTAATGTAAGTTAATGAAATTGGTATTATGTAATTGGTTATAACAATAATAATTGTAATGTTAACGATATGAAATATTACCGAATTAATAACAGATATAATAAAAACATACTGTTAGTTTTGTTACATGAAAGTGAATAAAATAAACTGTAAATAATAGGCACTGACATGGTACATGATCTATCAGTCATTCAACATTAATTGTAAACCAAAGTAAATATTACCTTGTCAAAAGTAATTGTTTTAAATTATCAGCTTATGAAATGATATCTGAATCCCTGATTGTATAGATTCACAAAGACAAAATCGCTAAGCAAATGAAAGATGTTAAAGACATGAACTAGTATTTAAATACAAAAATATTTTTGATTGAGATCATGAACCGATGAATACTAGACTACCATTGAAAACCTGGAAGTACTGGACGGCCGTTTCGTCTTAGTGAGGGACTCTTCAGTAGTGTGCATCCACGATCTTACTTGAGGGATTCAAACCCATGGCATTCGGTCTCGTAAGCGAACGTTTAACCTCTAGACCACTGAGTTGGCATTCAACAGTGTTAATGTCTAACCTCAACCAATCTCCATAACCCTATACTGACAAAAATATTTAACAAAACTGGTTTGACTTATGAGATGATATACAGTTGATCAAATATGTGAATGTAATAATGAGAAGACGATCAATGATCTTTTATTTCTACTCATAATATTATAAATATTCAGATTTCTGTAGTTAATATCTATAGCTTTCATGATATCAGGATATTTAGTTGGCGAGGTTCCGTCGAGATTGGTCTAATGATTTGATTACATATGTTACTGACTAATCACTGTTTGAACAATAAATGAACCACTTTCGTCGATACACACTGTTGAGGAGTCCTGTACTAGGACAAAATAGTCATCCCGTGTTTCCAGGTTTTCCACGATGATTTAGCTTTAATTGACTCATGAACTCCACTATTAAAATTACTAAAATCTCCACAAAAACCTTTCTGATAATAAACTCATTTTCATTCATTTTTTAACTTTCAGTATAATCAAAAGTCTTTGTATCATAGTTAACTATACCAATTTTTTTAATGTGAAATACTTAGTTAAACAAAAACGAAAAATAAACATGAAAAAGAGAACCTTTGTAATATCTTAGCAAACATTACGGATATATATATATATAATTACCACTGAGTGATTCAAATCTAACATCATGTATAAAATTGTACAAAGTTAATCGAGCTCTTTCCTGATTTTCGTTTTATTCAATTAAAATATAATTGATATTGTCTAAAATTGGAACAGATATCTTGAGTAACTCACTTTCCGTTTAACTATAAAATACGAATGAATCAACAGCAAACTTTGATCAGTATGAGGTTAAGAAGATCATAAAGTTTTTAATTAAAATCATGAACCGACTGATGTTAGACCACCACTGAAAACCTGAAGGTACCGGACAGTAGGTGCGTATCCACAATCCCACACCCAGGAATCGAACCCAAGACGTATCGGTTTCGCGTGCGAACACTTAATCTCTAGCCCACTAAGTTGGCATTCAACGGTGTTAATGTCTAGCCTCAACCAACTCACGAAATCACGCAACCGCCTTCCATTTTACTGAGGTATATACCTGTCTCTTCTTGACATGGATTAGCTCCACTGTTCACGGCTTCTCACTAGAACTTCGAGAATTCCCTCACAAAGCTAGTCACTAGTGAGCACATGGTAAGTATTATTATTGAATCGACCTTATGAATTTAAAGATACCATTCAAATAATCAACTGAAATCTTATGCAAATCAAAAATATTTTATAACATGAGTAATGAGGGACGTGTAAGCGTATTTTGGTCGTAGAAAGTTCATCAGTTATTCAAAGTACGATATTAGTTTCTCCATCTTAATATTGTAGAAATGTCCCTGTTTAACTCTATTTATCTAAATGTGAATATATTCACACGAAATAGTACCTTCCTTGATGTTTTTCTTGTATTCATAAATAGTTATGTAGAACCTTATCCTCGTTTACAAACTCCGAGAGTCATGTTCTTGATTCAGATTGACTCAACTCTATATCACAATCCCATGTCATTTTCACCTGATTATTTATTTGTATCGATAGTAACATGAAGATTAAATGTATAGTCTGTTTGGATTTAACCCTTATCATAAAAAGTAATAAACATCAGAAAATTTGAAAACTGTAAAAGGATAGATAGATAGATAGATAGATAGATAGATAGATAGATAGATAGATAGATAGATAGATAGATAGATAGATAGATAGATAGATAGATAGATAGATAGATAGATAGATAGATAGATAGATAGATAGATAGATAGATAGATAGATAGATAGATAGATAGATAGATAGATAGATAGATAGATAGATAGATAGATAGATAGATAGATAGATAGATAGATAGATAGATAGATAGATAGATAGATAGATAGATAGATAGATAGATAGATAGATAGATAGATAGATAGATAGATAGATAGATAGATAGATAGATAGATAGATAGATAGATAGATAGATAGATAGATAGATAGATAGATAGATAGATAGATAGATAGATAGATAGATAGATAGATAGATAGATAGATAGATAGATAGATAGATAGATAGATAGATAGATAGATAGATAGATAGATAGATAGATAGATAGATAGATAGATAGATAGATAATAGATAGATAGATAGATAGATAGATAGATAGATAGATAGATAGATAGATAGATAGATTAGATAGATAGATAGATAGATAGATAGATAGATAGATAGATAGATAGATAGATAGATAGATAGATAGATAGATAGATAGATAGATAGATAGATAGATAGATAGATAGATAGATAGATAGATAGATAGATGATAGATAGATAGATAGATAGATAGATAGATAGATAGATAGATAGATAGATAGATAGATAGATAGATAGATAGATAGATAGATAGATAGATAGATAGATAGATAGATAGATAGATAGATAGATAGATAGATAGATAGATAGATAGATAGATAGATAGATAGATAGATAGATAGATAGATAGATAGATAGATAGATAGATAGATAGATAGATAGATAGATAGATAGATAGATAGATAGATAGATAGATAGATAGATAGATAGATAGATAGATAGATAGATAGATAGATAGATAGATAGATAGATAGATAGATAGATAGATAGATAGATAGATAGATAGATAGATAGATAGATAGATAGATAGATAGATAGATAGATAGATAGATAGATAGATAGATAGATAGATAGATAGATAGATAGATAGATAGATAGATAGATAGATAGATAGATAGATAGATAGATAGATAGATAGATAGATAGATAGATAGATAGATAGATAGATAGATAGATAGATAGATAGATAGATAGATAGATAGATAGATAGATAGATAGATAGATAGATAGATAGATAGATAGATAGATAGATAGATAGATAGATAGATAGATAGATAGATAGATAGATAGATAGATAGATAGATAGATAGATAGATAGATAGATAGATAGATAGATAGATAGATAGATAGATAGATAGATAGATAGATAGATAGATAGATAGATACTGTACATCACGTTTTCAAACCATCATTATTCAACTATCATTTAATCTCATGACTTGATTTACCAATCAGAATACGGCGTTAATTAACAGTGACCTTGAAAGTTTTATTATTTAATTATTGATAACAATAACTGATAATAAATACGAAAAGGAAACGATTTTTATTTGTCAATTCAAGTGAGTTTTTGTTTGTTTCTTTACAAAACTTTGTCATATTTCAATTTAATTATTTTATATTTCAATATGAATTCAATTTATAATTAATGAAAATCAGCATTTGTAATTTATGGTTCAGCTTAAATACACATTCGATACCTCTATGATGTGTAAAAGTTGGTCCAAATAGAAATACCTCGTTAATATCTCATCACTTTAATTTCTGGAGGCAAACCTATAAAAATAGTCACCTTTTATTCACTTGTTAATTACTTTATTTTAAGTATTACATAATCATGTATCAACAAACGAATTGAGTGTTCAATGTAATTGAGCGCTTTTTTTGTTTGGATAAGGGGATTTGTGGAGACTGTTGAATTTCCATCGTTTACACCATGGATTGACCTTATTCAAGTAACCATTGAAAACTAGGATGCACTAAACAGCTGTTCCATTTTAGTGTAGGACCCCTAAGAATTGAGCATTCGTGATCTGATTGAGGGTTAAACCCAAGACCTTCTGTCTCGTTGTAAGTACTTAATCTTCCTAGTGAAAAACCATGACCATTTGAGCTCAAACATGCCAAGTATGAGGCATTTACCTACCACACAATATTCTGGAGTGATTGAAGTTAGATGTAAAAACAACTGGGTGGAATTTTAGTGGCCACAAGGAATTCCCATAATATGACGAAAAAGTTGTCCAGTGTTCGTTGGTTTTCATTTGTTTCCTAATTGAGATTAGCTCGTGATATCAAACGTTCTATAGTTACAATGAAAATTTCTTGCAGCACTGTCTTTAAATATGCTCGTACTAAATTGTTATGTCTTACGTATTTGGATTATTTATCCTCTGTTAAAATACGAGGGATAATCTGATGGTTACCTAGATCCATAATTTGACAAAAAATGCATATTCCTTATATTCCCAGTCTTATGGTCGTTTGGTGCATGAAAATTTGTTTGTATGTATAAATCTGTAGATGAACCATTGTAAACAATCTGATACAATTTACATATATTTACTTATTATTTCTTGTTGTTAAATTTAACTAGGAAACATTTTAGTTACTTACGATCACTTAATCATTATTTATTAAATTTAAATGTCATTGAAGTTATGAAACGTTGCATATAAGAACGTCATAGACTTTTCAAATCAGAACTAGTGCAATCATAAGGAGTCTGCAGTTCACAGTGAATTATTCGATGGCGGGAAACGCTAGTTTCTATTATAAGTGTCTTCAAAGTATCATTCACGTATCGTGGAAGAATCGAGTGGTTAATGTCAAGGTTGGACACAGCATATTAAGGAAAGAGAGCGTACCAGCTGATAATATTATAAATGTACATCGACTGAAGTAGCTTGAATATACGCAACGTATGATTAACCAGTTTCAACCTCGAGGAATGATGTTTAGTGGTGTAGGAGTTCAGATAAAAAAAGGAATAACTAAACCAAGGTGTAGCGTCAATCCATGAAGTCACTGACTATTGGAGTGGACCGTTTTGATAAGTGCAGACTACCTGTTTGTGGTCCGCGTAAATAGAAACCGTAAACAAATGTTGGAGACTTTTGACGACATCATTAAGGTTTGTTTACAATGACATTCACTTATTATCTCCCACCAGATCTCGAATTTTTATTTTCATATCTTGAACATTTTTTTCAATATTAATTCCTTCTCATTATAATTTTCACTGAAATTATTTCGACTTCTTTACTTTTCATTTCAAATGATATGGCAACCTGTGCTTACATTTATACCAAACTCAGTGTTAGTGATAACTAACTAACTAATCTACTATTAGCTAACCTTCACTACTAATCAGGTTAGTACTAAAATAATTGACGCAGAAATTAGTTACCAATCTAATGAACACATACATTAGGTTAATCCATTTCGAAGTAAATAACTGGATAACAACCAAAATATTTTGTGTATGAGAATGGCAATTGATAGGAGTACCTGTTTTTAACAGATACATCATTACTATATTAGCTACAACTGTCACTGTAAATTCAATGTTGAACCAGACTAGACTTACTGTAAGATATCAGTCCACTGTGAATTGTATATTCCCAATGAATAAACTTATAGGATATCAGAAGGGGTTTTGTGGAGATTGTAGTAATTTCAGTAGTTGAGATCATGAGTTAGTTGAACCTAGACCACCATGGGAAACCTGGAAGCACTGAACAGCGATTTCGCCCTATCGTGAGACTCCTCAGCAGTGTATACCCATGAGTCCGCCTCGCGGGATTCAAACCCAGGACCTATCAGTTTCGCGCGCGAGCGCTTAGCCACTGGATGCACACTGTTGAGGAGTCCCACGATAGGACGAAATTGCCGTCCAGTGCCTCCACGTTTTCCATGATGGTCTAGCCTCAACTGACTCATGATCGCAACCATAGGATATCATTTAAAATGATGAGTCAATTGATGAGAATGGGATAAAATATTTAGAACGTTTCCGCAGAGAACTAAACATTGATTGTCTATTTCGAAAAATTCTTATCTGTTAAGCAATTTCCAATAGATGTCGATCTTAAATGGTGATTTTCATCACTGACTAATCTTAATTAAAGAACTATTGTGAACCAAAATGCACTGGACAGTTATGTTATCCTATTAATTAACTTTAAAAGATGAGTTTTCCGATGTTCCAATAGAGAAAAAACTAATTTGCGGAGTTAAAGAAATTTGAATTTAACTCGTTACTCAAAAATATCACAGAATGAATTTGAAGAAGTAAACTATTAGATTCAGATTCAATGTTTCGAACATTATGATACCTAAAAAACGATGTTATATTCCAACTGTATAAGGTGGTAGGTTAGCACTTTTGACTGATAATCTTAAACTAAATTCAAGCAGTTATCTAAGATTATTTTGACCATCATTGATTCTATACTTGTGGTGTGTGCTACTTATATTGACATAAGTAGTATATGATGTTAGTCGTGAACAGAAGGTCTGACAGCAGAGAGACAAGAGGATCGAACAGTAAAGAATGGAAACAGGATGCAATTTGTATGAAAATGCAAGAACAATGAAGTCTGAATCATTCTGAGACAATTGATGGACATTTTTGCAAATTAAGCATTTATTTTATGATTGTTAGATTTTATTAACAAGTCCTGTAACCTTGTGTTAAACACATTCGACTGTCCCCAGCCGTGTTCTGTTCACTACACACTCACTGTCTAGCTGTAATAAGCATTATTTCCTATCATACCAGCTCTTTAAAGATCAATTTTATTTAAACTATAGCGCAATCTGTGCATATACTAATGAACCATTCGTTTAAGCTTTAATAAGCACTTTATGTTTTGTCAAAAATGGCAAATGAGTGAGATTGAAATGTTGATCTTTACTGATTATGATAGCGTGTTTAATTGATAAGTATGTCATGTGTTTTAGTTATTATTATCATAATTGCGTTCAATTGATTGAGGAGTACTAGAAAAATCAATTCTGTAAACTGTTAAATAATAACTAGTGTCAACTATGAAAATATAATTTAATGCTTTTTTGTGTAACACAAAAATTCGAACATCGTTTTTAGCAAAGATAGATGGTAGCTGGCAGTGGGATTCAGGACGAACGTTCCGCCCGATTCAGGAGCCGTCATCTGGTTGTACCTGCATCCTAGAATTAGTATTTATTCCAGAGCTCGAACCCAGTACCATTCGCTTCAAACGTGATCGCGCTACCCACTTAGCTACTGAGATGTAATAGCCATTTGCTTGCGCAATCAGGTGAAGTTTAAATTCATTTGGTATTGTTAGCTTGAATCTTCCCATTGATGTTTAGGACTGTGACTGATCAGTCTTTCCACCTGATGAGCCCCACGAGGGCCGAGACGCGCGTCCTGGATTCCACTACTAACCACCATCCATCTTTGCTTATAATACTTGTGACTTAAAGCAATATCGAGGCAACACACATAGGATGCATATATACCAATAAGAAACTGATCAATTGAAATTCTAAACATCAATGTGAAGATTAAAACATATGATACCAAATGAATTTGAATATCATTTTGTTAGTTGACCATCTAGTTGCTTTGGTACTATCCGTTGTGTCTAATTAAATGAGGATAATATGGATAATCATGGATTCATTTTAGGTCGACAACCTGTTCGCAGCCTATGACAGTATCTGGAAAACGTTTTCGAGAGTTAAGGGTGAAAATACTTCATCAAATTATCGTTTGTTATAAACTTTCCAGAACGCTTAGGAAAACGATGAACGATATGTTAAATTTCACAGGTTGAAATCATGAGTCGATTAAAGCTAGACCACCATGGAAAACCTGGAAGCACTGGACGGCCGTTTCGTTCTAGTATGGGACTCCGCAGCAGTGCGCATCCGCGATCCTGGGTTCGAGCCCCGCGTGGTGCGGGGTCGTGGATGCGCACTGCTGCGGAGTCCCATACTAGAACGAAACGGCCGTCCAGTGCTTCCAGGTTTTCCATGGTGGTCTAGCTTTAATCGACTCATGATTTCAACCTGTGAAATTTCTAAAACTCTCCACAAAATCCATTCTGATATATGTTAAATCTTGATCGAGAAATTACCGATTTTATTACTGATTTTTTTAGTATTTCCAGAAAGTTCTAAAATATTGAGGCCGCACGTAAACCTATAAATATTCTTGCCTTCTATCCCTAAAATGATATTGGAAACAAGGCATATTCTTTATATTTCCCACCCTTTAAATTCTGTATAAGACTGTAGTTTGGAAAATTTCCGCGGAACGGAGAAGCAGTTAAACCAGTGTCAAGTGTTTAAGTAAAGGATGTGGCACTATATTTAAAAACCATGTGACAGTCAACATTCGTTTCGTCCTAATATAAAACTCCAAATGATTAAGCTCGGGCTCACTGATAATTCTAAGAGCTCGAATATTAATTCTTGATGGAGAGTTGTTATTCTCCACTCCTGTTCAATGTTCCCTTTATTTTCCCGTACTATATACTAATTTTGGAATGAAAAATCACAGGGAACCTTC